CATGACTGACTAGGCAGAAGATTTTCCTGCAGTAGGTTGCCGTTTCTTTCTGCAGTAGTCTGGTTGCCAACCAAGGCTATAGGACCCAGTCTGTCCTGCTATTCAATCCATTTATCCAGATCAGTCTGTTAATTGCCGTAGGTGATACACGCTTGGGTGGTCATGTCTCTTTCGATTCATGATCGACAAACCAAGAGATTTTCCTGAAGTAGGTTGCTATTTCTTTCTGCAGTAGACCGCTAGCCAACCAGGTGTATAGGACCCAGTCTGTTCTGATATTCAATCCTTTTATCCAGATCAATCAGGTAATTGCCATACGCAAAACAGGCTTAGGTGATTATGTCCCTTTCAATTCATTATTAACTAGGCAGAAGATTTTCCCGTAATAGGTTGCCATTTCTTTCTGCAGTAGACTGGTTGCCAACCAAGGCTATGGTACCCAGTTTGTCCTGCTATTCAACCCAGAGCTGGGAGGAGAAGAGATGGATTCATACTTTTCCAAAGGTTATTTGTGTGTTGATGAATGCAATGAACTCGGCTGGAATTCAAATTCGGCTCTCCGACTTCTCAGCGTGAGCCGATAGACATGACACCACCATGCACATTCTTGATATTAGTTTAAAAAATCAGATATTTAAGATATAGCCTCCTTGCATCTGTTATGTTATTGGTACTGATCTGGCATCTCAGCTTCAGTCATTTTTCACACTGCTGCAATATAGGTTCCCTGTGCCTTTTTTTATAAATAGTTTAATGGTAATTCTTTTGATGATCTTTTCTCTATGGTATTTAGATGTTATGAATTTAAGGAAAAATAAATATAAAAATTTAAATATCTGGGATGTGTTTTAACAGAGAACAGTAAGTGTGAGACTGAAATCTCAATGTTCATTGGGATAGCCAAAGATGCATTCCAAAAGCTAAGCAGAGTATTAAAAAAAATTGTTAAAAACCAAGAAAAACGTATTGAACTGTTATGAGATGTGTCCTCCTATACGGCCGTCTTCTCAAATATGAAGAAGAGATTTGAAGCAACAGAAAAGTTGTTCTTCAGAATGATGCTGAGGATACCATGGACTGAACAGATGGCAGTGAATGCTGGACAATCTCCTCAAATATGAAGAAGCGATTTGAAGCAACAGAAATGTGGTTCTTCAGAATGATGCTGAGGATACCATGGACTGAACATATGGCAGTGAATGCTGGACAATCTCCTCAAATATGAAGAAGCGATTTGAAGCAACAGAAATGTGGTTCTTCAGAATGATGCTGAGGATACCATGGACTGAATATATGGCAGTGAATACTGGACAATCTCCTTACAGATGAAGAATAGATTCGAAGCAATAGAAATGTTGTTCTTCAGAATGATGCTGAGGAGACCATGGACTGAATATATGGCAGTGAATGCTGGACAATCTCCTTACAGATGAAGAAGAGATTTGAAGCAACAGAAATGTTGTTCTTCAGAATGATGCTGAGGATACCATGGACTGAACATATGGCAGTGAATGCTGGACAATCTCCTCAAATATGAAGAAGTAATTTGAAGCAACAGAAATGTGGTTCTTCAGAATGATGCTGAGGAGACCATAGACTGAACATATGTCAGTGAATACTGGACAATCTCCTCAAATATGAAGAATAGATTTGAAGCAACAGAAAGGTGGTTCTACAGAATGATTTTGAGGATACAATGGGTTGCATATGTGAGAAATGAAAATGCTTTGGAAATTTTGGAGAACCATGATCCCTTATGTCCTGAAGGGAGAACGACACATAAAGAAGGAGATGACTAGATTGGCAGAAAGGTCTCATCATTTTACAGTTAAATTGGCTACATGTAACGATATGTTCTATGCTAACAGTTATCTCGTATTTCTGGCCTGTGCAGTTCTCTTCTGGCTTGTTGCTTTACAGCCAACTTTGATCTACAAAAATTTAAATGCAATGTCAATCGTTATCTATTGTCTTTTCAATTCCTCCTTTATTGTTCTTGCTTCTTAATAATCTTTTTCTTTTTCTTATTCATTCACACTCAGTGACTCTGTGTGCCATTATTGCCATGTTTCAGGTGAAATGATTAAAAAAATGTTCTGTGAAATTTTTGAAATCCAATAAATGTTTTGCGCGGTTTTAATGCATTGCAGGAATCACCCCTGTCGTTGCAAGGTGTGGACATCTTTCAGCAAATATTTATGGGCTACTGAAACATCTGTCCCATAAACAATATTTGGCGAACTCATGTCAGCCGCATGTAAAATGAAGAAGCACAAAACTTGAAATTTAAAAGAAACATATGTTATTCAAAAATGGAATGACATGTGTACACAATTGAAATCAAAGGAAAATACATTAAACCTAACTATAAAAATGTGCTTGTTTGTTTGTGCGTGCGTGTGTGTGTGTGTGTGTACGTGTGTGTGTGTCAAATTGTCACTAGGGGTCACTCTCCCTATACTATAAATACTGGGCGACTTCTCGCCTCGTCCTCTTTTTTATTTCTTCATTTCAGCAACTACAATGTAAGCTCTTTTAGAAGATCCGCATCTTCCCATTTGTGGGAGACACCATGAACATTATACACACATACACGTACGGACGAACATTCACCAAAGAACAAACACAAATATACACACACACATACAAATGTTATTGTCTATGTCCATTGTAAAATTGTTTTGTTTAATACATATTTTGTTTTTTATATATATATATATATATATATATCATCCACACTTTTTGAAGGGACGAATACAGAGATCTGCTGCACTGAATGCCACAAGGTTCCCAAACGACCCTGAATTTGAATTCTCCTAGACCAGTTGCCATCCAAGGCTATAGAACCCAGTGTGTCCTGCTATTTTACCCATAGCTGGAGGGAGAAGAAGAGGATTCATACCTTTCCCAAGGGTATTAGCACGTAAGTGAATGTAATGGATTCGACTGGAATTCGAACTCGGCTCTGCGATTCCTCAATCCAAGCCGCTATCCATTACTCCACCGTGCCTCAAAAAGTGTGGATGGTCCTGCACGAGGCCTTCACCACTATAATCAAATCTCATGTGTCGTTGTCGGGCTGTCGGTTTCCTGGAAACTGATCTGCTTGGCCCTCATACGTCGAAATCGACGGGAGAGTCGACAATATATATATATATATATATATATATATATATATATTAAAGACATTTTTATGTTTAACGTTGTTTTTATAGATACAAGTATTTAAGTAAATGCTCTGTTTATAATAAACAGTATTAAATAACATTTACCGACTGAATGTCCGAGAAATTTTCATAGAAAATATTCGTCCTTTGACAGATTCGAACCTGCATCCTATACGGAACCGTCATTTACGCTGACGTGCCTTAACCGACTCGATCACAAAGGATCGTTCGGTTGGCAAGGTTGAATTTACTGCTTATAAACTTCAATCTTCTATGAATCTCGTACATTCATAACTGCCCATGGCGTATCAAATGTAAACAAATGACGTCATATATTAAGAAATGGACAAAAGTCCGACAATTTATTTATTAAAGACATTTTTATGTTTAACGTTCTTTTTATCCTGTCAAAGGACGAATATTTTCTATGAAAATTTCTCGGACATTTAGGCCGGTAAATGTTATTTAATACTGTTTATTATAAACAGAGCATTTACTTAAATACTTGTATCTATAAAAAGAACGTTAAACATAAAAAATGTCTTTAATAAATAAATTGTCGGACTTTGTCCATTTTTAATATATATATATATATATATATATATATATATATATATATATATATATATATATATAGATAGATAGATAGATAGATAGATAACTAGACTCGTTTCGAAAACCCTCAAATTTTTGATTTGCTAATCAAATCAATCTCGAGGAAAAAAGTTTTTAAAAAAGAAAGAGCTACAAACATGAACTTCTGCCGACAAAAAATCGCACAGATGCAGGTCTGAAGCCCAAAGAAAAAAACCCGATACGAGTAACATCTAACTAACAAAAGAGCTCAATACAACCGTAGAGCAGACCTAGATACACCTAGTGAGCCAGACAAACCTACCTAGGTTTCACCTAAACTGATCGTCAGGGGAAAGTTTGGCCAAACTTTCCTGACGATCTATATATATATATATATATATATATATATATATATATATATATATATATATATATTGGTCTTGTTTGTCTTGTTTATCTTCAGTTGGACTTAATTCAAGTCCGGCCATTTTCTTGTAGTTGGACCTTTTAATATTCTACCAGGAGTTACACACGTGTTTCTAATACAACAACACGCAAACACACACGGTCCACAACATCTGTATGTGTGTAAAACAAAGAGACTTTAGTATTCAAATCGGCCTGGAGAAACGAACGTACCCCGGCAGACATTATCATGTATGAGCTACTACATCTTGGTTGGAGCAGGAAGAAGAAAAGGAGAAAGAGAAGGAAATGCTTATTTTTTATTGACTTAAACTGCGCCGCGTAACGGACGTTTTTGCCAAAGCCGAGTAACCAGCAAGTAACAAGTGTACTCTCTTTACAGCGGAAAAATGCCCCACACTTCATCGCTATAGCTACACCAGCAAAATCACGAATTTGGCAAGTCAAGAATGAAAGAAAAGTGATAAGGAGGAATAGGTTTCAAAAATTGTGGTTGTTGGCTGTATAAAAACCTTTACCCCACTTATTTATTTTTTGGTGAATACTAGAAACGGAAGACAATATTTCACGATGTCAATCAAAAGTTGTTAGAGATTGAATTTGTAAGACAACAGCCCATCCCCTCACTTAAACCACCCGCTCTCCTCTGACGCTTTTCCCTCGACCCCTGACTGTACTCATTCCTTTTCCGTCTTCTATGATCAGTACTTGCCTTGAATGTCAAATTGGAGACCCTGCCGTATCGGTGAGCCCCTGCCTACCATCATTCATGCCATGAGGGATCATGGGATTGTTCCCAGGATCTCCTGGGTTGGCTTTTCTGCTTTACACGTCCAGATGAAAATATGTTTGCAGGAAGGCCATAATTGGCATAAAGGGTTGCAATTGGTGGTGAGGTGGGGAGAGTGTTTGTGTTGGCGGGGTGAGGGTGGGGATGAAAGTGGTTGGAGAAAGACGTTTTTGGCTTTGGTGGAAATGTATTGCTTTGCTTGAACATGGCTCAGGTGGGCAAGAACTGCAATTAGTGAATCCCTGATGATAGCCACGGGAAATAGATTGAAACTTCACGAACGGATGCTATCATTCAGTGTCCAAGAGCAGGGTTGGGGGAGGTTATAATATTTGTTTCAGCACTCCTCACCATTATTTGTGAGGAGTAGGTTGACTTTTTGCTTTACACCTGATTCTTTTTATTGCCGTATTTCGATATATTTTTCTTCTTTCTTTTTTCCTTTCTGTATTCAATTTATTTTTTATTTTTCTGCCTCGTATGTTAGCTTGTTTGTGATTTTGTTTTGTCTTCTTCTCCATTTTAAAGTTAGCCTCTATTTCAGTGGCTTGCGGCCATGTCACGTTAAAACACCGGTTCTTGTACGATCACAGAAGGTAAGCAACGTCGAGCTTGGTCAATAACTAGATGGGTGTCCGCTTGGGAATACCAGGTGCAGTAAAATTTGATATGTGGTTGTATAAAGGGCTTACAGACATTTCACGTTGAAACACTGCTTCTTGTACGATCACCGAAGTTAAGCAACGTCGAGCTTGGTCAATAACTAGATGGGTGTCCGCTTGGGAATACCAGGTGCAGTAAAATTTGATATGTGGTTGTATAAAGGGCTTACAGACATTTCACGTTGAAACACTGCTTCTTGTACGATCACCGAAGTTAAGCAACGTCGAGCTTGGTCAATAACTAGATGGGTGTCCGCTTGGGAATACCAGGTGCAGTAAAATTTGATATGTGGTTGTATAAAGAGCTTACAGACATTTCACGTTGAAACACTGCTTCTCGTACGATCACCGAAGTTAAGCACTATGCCGTATATTTCCGCGTATAAGTCGAGGTAAAAATATATATACAGTGTAACCCGGATATAAGAGAGTTTTCGGGACCGGAGAAGTTTCTTATATCCGGGTTTCTCTTATAACCGGGTTTGGTCTATACATTAACACAGGCTCTAATTTGGAACCAGAGAAAAATCTCTCTGATATCCGGGTTTCTCTTATATCCGGGTTACACCGCGTATAAGATGAGGTCAAATATAGCAAATTTTCATGAATTCATCCTCTACCTGTAGGTTAAGACTACTGCTTATTGATTATATAAAGATGATGTTATTGGAAATCTTGTTACTGTATCCTTAAAAATTCAAAATAAACAAAATAACAAACCCGATTCTATGTCATTTTTTCCCTACACACATCCATTGTTTTATCACGTGATCTCTTGTGAATACTGATTCTTCTTCTTCCTCTTCTTTCCCTATATCCGAACAGTTACAAACAGCCTGGTGTACTAGTGGCCATTTACTTATACTTCACCGGCAGTCAAAAATTAATGCTAATAGCAGTATGATAATAGTAAATTCCACTGCTCTGAATGCAATCATAACTCAATGTTTACATTTTCTCAGCTGAGCTTGCATGGATACAAGTTGATTTCATTGATATGGAATTATTCTTCAAATAGGCAATTTATTATGAAGTTATACCAGAAATCTATAAGGTAGAAATGTTTTTATTACTTTTATTATCAGTTTATTTGATAATGTGAATCTTTTCATGTATATTATTATTTATCGCAACGAAGCTGAAGTAAGCCTACCGACAAACATCATTTAGAATTTAAGGTTTCTTTTTTTTAGAATTGTAGTATAAGACGATACCCCAATTTTTAAGGGAGATTTTTTGGGTTTTAAAGGTCGACTTATATGCGGAAATATACGGTACTGATGTAATTTTTTATTAACTTTTTATGAGTATTGTGAATAATGTCAAATAATTTGAGTCGAGAACAAAGAAAGTGAATACTAAAGTGGTATTGGATGATTAGAAACGCCGAGCAGGTGAGGAAAGCGAGGGGAGAAGATTTTTTCAGTGTTCCCCCAACATGGCCGACAATGTATCGTATAAGAGATAAATTTGATTAGTTTTGTTTGCATTTCATCATATGATCTCTTGCGAATACTGATTCTTTTCCTTCCTCTTCTTTTCCTAAATCTAAATAGTTACAAACAGCCTGGTGTACTAATGGCCATTTACTTATGCTTCATCAACAATCACAAAGTACCACTAATAACAGTATGATAATGTATGATAATAGTAAATTTTGTGAATGCAATCATAACTCATACCGACGAACATCACTCTAAATTTACGGTTTCTTTTTTATAATTGTAGTATAAGACAATCCCACAATTTTGAAGGGTGATATTTGGGATTTAAAAGTCGCCTTATACGCGGAAATATACAGTATATGGAAGTCTTCCAAAAAGGCTTTAAAAATGACCGTAAATGACTAAGGAAAGACAAGAAAAACTTTTTCGAAATGCAAATCTGTTACTCCCGAAAAAAGTCAATAAAAGTCAAGTCACTAATACTTTTATCAGCATTGTAACTCTGTATTTCACTAGGTGGGAGTTATAATTTCTCCTCTTCTCGTATATAATACACTTTAATTTGTACGTTTTTAATACGTAATCAACTTTCATTGTCTTAATACGATATACTGCAACTTTTATGTAATAAAGGTAGATATATAACTAGACTTTAGTATGCAAAACAAAATCAATAAAATATAACGGATGACTTACTATCTTGTAAAAGTCGTACTTCCTCTTATTGTAATCATAATTATCTTGAACTTGAAAGAATATCTTGTCGGTTGCGTCGGGTGATTTTAATTATTAATCAGACCTTTTTATAAAAGCCAAGGCAAATTTTTGTCTGCTGTGAACTCAATTATAACTCAATGTTTACATATTCTCAGCTGAACTTGCATGGATACAAGTTGATTTCATTGATATCGAATTGTACTTCAAATAGGTAATTTATTATGAAGTTATGCCAATAATATATAGAAATTGTTCTATTATTTTATTATCAGTTTATTTGATAAAGTGAATCTTTTCATCTTCGTTATTGGTCATCGCACCGAGGCCCAGGTTGGCCTACCGACGAACAGCACTCAAAATTTACGGTCTCTTTTTTAGAATTGTAGTATAAGACGATCCCCCAATTTTTAAGAGTGGTTTTGGGGATTTAAAGGTCGTCTTATATGCGGAAATATATTGTGTATATATATATATATATATATATATATATATATATATTAAGACATTTTTATGTTTAACATTCTTTTTATAGACGATCAACTTCTCGAGAGCACCTCTCTGCAGCTGCTCGGTCTCACGTTGACTGCTGACCTGAGATGGAACAAATACATTGAGTCAATTGCCTCATCCACCGCAAGGAAAGTTGGCTCCCTTTGCCGCGCCAGGAATTTTTTATCCCCGGAATCGATCCTCCAGATCTACAAATCAACAATTCGTCCTTGCATGGAGTATTGCTGCCATATATGGTCTGGAGCCCCTTCTGTTTGCCTCGGGGTTCTTGATAGGCTCCAGAGGCGGATATGCAATATAATTGGCCCTGCTCTAGCATCTCGTCTACAGTCACTTTCTCACAGACGCGCCGTCGCCTCTCTCTGTCTGTTCTACAAATACTTTCATGGCAATTGCTCAGAGGAGCTGCATTCGCTGGTTCCCAGACTTTATGAGTTCAAGCGCCCTACGAGGCTGGCATCCCGCTCTCACCCCTTCACTGTCGAAACTCCTAAATGTAGCCGTCTCTTCTACTCCAATAGCTTCATGTCTCGCACCTATCGCCTGTGGAACTCCCTTCCCTATTCCAGTTTCCCTGAGAGCTATAATCTCCAACTATTCAAGTGTAATGTCAATCGACATCTCCAGTTGCCTTGATCTATCCACTACCCTTCTCCTCATACCCTCTTCTATCACTCCTATCTGATCTCGCTCTATATTTTCTGTAACCCCTTGCGTCCTAGTAGCTTCCCGCCTTGCTTGGGGTGAAAAAAAAAAGATACAAATATTTAAGTAAATGCTCTGTTTATAATAAACAATATTAAACAACATTTACCAGCCTGAATTTACCGACAGGATTCGAACCTGTATCTTATACGGAGCTGTCATTTAGCTTGACGTGCCTTTACCGATTTGGTCACGAAGGAGCGTTCGGCTAGTAAGGTCGAATTTATTGCATTTAAACTTCAATCTTCCATGAATCTCTCACGTACATTTATATCTGCTTATGGCGTATCCAAATGTAAACAAATGACGTCACACATTATGAAATGGACAAAGTCCGACAATTATTTTAAGACTTTTATTTTAAGACATAAAATAATTGTCGGACTTTGTCCATTTATAATATATATATATATATATATATATATATATATATATATATATATATATATATATATATATATAATCGGCATAACCCAATGCAAGGCAGTAAAGCGACTAGGACACAAGAGATTACGCGGTGTGGAAGAATTAGGAACAGAAACATTAATAATGAGCAGGAAGAGAAAAGAGTAACCAGGAGGACAGTAGATAGCAATTGACATTGCATTTCAACTTTTGCTTGATTAAAGTTGTCTGGAAAGCATGGAGCCAGAAGGGAGTTCCGTTATCGAGAAGTGCAAGAAAAGAAACTGTTAGCGTAGAATTTACGGTTACATCTAGCCAGCTCAACTGTAAATGGATGAGATCTTGATGCCAGTCTAGTACTCCATTTAAATTCAAAGAATTTAGGTACCATAGCAAAGGGCTCATCTGAACAATTACCATGAAAGTATTTATAGAAAATACACAGAGAAGTAACCTTATGGTGGTGGGAAATTGACTGAAGCCAAGCCGTCAGATCAGGACCAATAATACTGTTGATTTTATTTTTAGATTTTATCAAGGAGCTCAAGGTAAATAACAGAGCTACAGGACCATATGTGGCATCAATATTCTAATCACCAAGGTTAAGCAACGTGGTACCTGGTCAGTATCTAGATGGGTGACCATTTTGGGTTACCAGGTGGTGTAAACTTGGATGGGAGGTTGGTTTAAAGGAAAAAAAACGGCTCAGAATGAAAAATCAGGGAGACGAGTTCGAATTCCAGTCAGTTTCGTTATATTGACTTACGTGCAAATACCCTTTGGAAAGGTATAAATCTACCTCTTCTGACTCCAGGTATGGGTTAAATATTAAGACCTTTATCGGAAAATTCATTATTATCACCCAAAAATTCATTCCAAAATATATTTCAGCTTTCAGTAACTTCAAAAAGGATAATAAGTCGTAAAAAAAAAATAAATTAACCCATCTGTTTCAGTTTTTTCACAAAGAAAATGAGTAAAATCTACCTATCAACATACATCTATAAATGAATGTGTGAATATAAGAATCAATTACTGCATATGCTCATATATATGTCGACTTCATGTATTGCACGACCTTTGAAATTTTTGACATAATATTGACACCCCAGAAAAAATACCTGTGAAGAGTGTGACGTGCGATCATAAAAACACTATCCTTGAGTATATATGGTAATATGTATATATATGGATTAGTCATACTTGACTAAGGCTTATGGCCACATAACATTGAAATGTCAGTTCATGTACGGTCACCAAAGTTAAGCAAGATCAAACTTGGGCAGTACCAAGATGGGTGACTGCTTGGGAATACCAGGTGCCGTAAGTTTAGATGTGTGTGGCCTAATGGATAATCGGAGAGCTGAGTTCACATTCCTGTTGAGCCCATTATATTCAATTACCTGAAAATACCTTTGGGAAAACTATGATTCCAGCTCTTCTCCCCCTAGCTATGGGTTAATTAGTAATACTTGTATCACTAAAGCATTATTAT